AAAATTGTTGAAACCATCGAAATTAATTAATGCTGAAACTGGTGAAATTAGTTTTTTTAAAAAATTAAACCTAAATTTTATTATACTAGGATTATTTAAATATTTTAAACTGAAATGAATTAATAAATAAGTGCTTGATAATTATTTACAACAAAAAATATTAAAATGCCGAAGTTATATTAAATTTTAAAATCCCATCTATATTTATATATTTAGAATTTAAGAAAAAACAACGTACCAAGAGAAGAATACGAGTTTATTACGCGGGCCTTCACCGGCCTTTTCGTAGTCAAAATCAAAAACGGCATAACGGGGCTGCTCTTTCAATTCTTTGACCAGAACATTCTTGAAGTCTTCGTAAGTGGCATTTTCTTCTGCCCTATCAAGAACGATTTCTGTCTTGTCTTTTTCATCATTAATTTTGTACAAAATGTATTTGTATTTTTTTTTTAATTTAAGTTCTTGAAAAACTTCCATACATTCATCGCTGGCACTGACACCACTTGCGCTAGACTAAAGAAGTCAGTAGAAATTTAGTATGGGGGAACATATTGTGGCAATTAATTTCAGTGCATACCATTTTGAAATGTAAAGATTCACTTGGTTGAATTTTAAAATCTGCGCATTCGGGTATCATGGCAAAAAAGCGACGGTCATGTGAGATTCTATTTGAACATCCACATTCTGACTGGCGAAATCAAATAAAATTTTTTAATATATATCGATACTGTAAGAGTTGGTTTTTTTTTTTAAATTAAACGATATCTCGACGATCACCGATGCAAAATTGATAACGATAAAAAATTTTTTTTATTTAGATTCTATAAAATTACATAATTAAAAAAAAAAATTTCATTAAAGTTAATTTAAATAAGTGATCGTCGAGATATCATCGCTTAAAGTTTAGAAAAAAACTTTGCCGCGGTTGAATTGATTTCATCCAATATGATCGTTCAGGTACGTGCGTAGAATCTACACATGACCGTCATTTTTTTTAGCCAGTAAATTTTCAAGATCAGATATGACGCATAAAAATCGTACGAGAAATTTTTTTCTACCGTTAATTTCACATGACGTAAGATGGTATCACGTGGTTATATTCGTCGGCCGAAGATTATCTAACATAAGGCACATACCGATACATAATTTTGAATAAAAATCTGTTTTTGATGGGTCATTAGTGCCGTTTAAAAAATATACTATTTGTGTACTGTTCTCCATATGATTCCAAAAAAGGACATCAAGAACGATACAGATTATGTTATTTTTGCGATACGGCATATATAAATGTGTAACGATTGTTTCTCTATTATGATTATAGTTATATCATTGAACATTCCCCTATTCAATCGGAGTTTCTGTTGTACTCCCTACCGTCTTCTTCCGATAAACCTCTCATGTATAAAGTTGAGATTAAACAAAATTAACACCTAATTTTCCATTACTTGCTAATAAATCAACATCGATTATCGTAGAAACGGAATCACCCTTTCTTTACAAAACTAAACAGTGTGAAGCATTTCTCCTCCTTTTCCCCCTGGCCAAGAGTGCTGCCCGCGTAGCATGTTCAAATACTTCACGGACGCCCTCACCAGTTTTGGCTGAGCACTCCAGATATTTATAAGCACCAATTTTTTGAGAGACCATCATACCCTTGTTTGTAAAATTATAAATAGAAAAATTAGGATTTGACACATAAATTAGACAAATATAAAAAGGATGAAATGATGAATAGTAGGTCCAGAGCTTTGTCATACCTCTTCAGGTGTCACCGGCCTTTGAGAAGTCTTGCGCAATTCTTCAATAGTCTTGGGATCAAACCTCAAATCTTTCTTGCATCCAACTAGGATGATGGGCAAACCGTGACAGAAGTGCATTACTTCTGAAATCCACTATTAATATAAAAAATAATTAAATTTCAAGGTAAATTAAAAATTTTGATATAATTACTTAATATAACCAATAGTAAATAACGAATTTCCATTCAAGAATCTCATTTGATATATCTGATTAATATTAAATTTTATTATTGAATTAAATGTCCCATACTTTATCCGGATAATTTGCTCAAAATATACCACAATTTTGATGTATGCAATACCATCACACCAAAGCTGATTGCCAAAATTTGAACACTTACTTTTTCTTGTACGTTATCCAAAGAATCGGGAGAGTCAACCGCAAAACAAATCAAGATAACGTGAGAATCAGGATAAGAGAGGGGTCTCAGACGATCATAATCTTCCTGACCTATTCCCAACGTAACATGATAGTATTAATGTATAATGATTTACTAACGGCGCAGAAATATAACGACCAATATTATTACCAGCTGTATCCCATAAGGCTAATTCAACGTGTCTGCCATCTACTTCGACGTCAGCAACATAGTTTTCGAACACAGTAGGAACGTAGACCTGTATAGTAAATAATATAAGAATAAATTTAAGTATGAATAAGCTTCTAATTTATTGAATCTACAATACCCTCAATGAAAGGATGATAGCCACAATCACATCGCATATAGTAGAATAACAAAATCATAAGATTTAAACAGATAACTTTCTTAATAATTAATATAGAACTGTGCATCGAAATTTCCACCATTTGGTTGTGTCAACGATTTGTACAAAATAAATGAGAATGTTCTCTGGAACAACTGAATTGATTTCCTTGGGTGATTACTTAAATAACTAAGTTGATGTTTCTTTTAAGTTACATACCTCAGGGAAAGTGCCTTTAGAGAAAACGATTAGAAGACATGTTTTACCACAGGCACCGTCACCAACAATGACAAGTTTTCGGCGAATCTCAGCCATTCTGTTAACAAGGGTGCGGAGAGTCTAAGTGGTAAAAGCCCAGCTGTGTTTGAAACGGTCAAGAACTCGTTTAGAAACAAGTATAAAGGCTTGTAAATAGATATTTATAACTATTTATGGAAGAACTGAAAACCTTACAGTTATAACGTTTTAAAGTGAAAGAAATTACAAGAGTAAAGATTTGAGATGATGATTAAACAAGTAGCCACAAAAGACTAATAAAACTATATAGACGAGAGGTTTATCGGAAGAAGACGGTAGGGAGTACAACAGAAACTCCGATTGAATAGGGGAATGTTCAATG